TCTTGGAAAATACAAACACTGCCAGGGATGGGGCATCCACAACTTCTCTGGGCAACCTGTGCCAGTGTCTCACCACCCTTGCAGTGAAGGAGTTTGTCCTGATATCTCCTCAGGTCCCATGGATTTGTGCACATTCAGGTTCTTATGATGATCTGGACCATGACCCTGTCCTGCACTGGGCCTAAGGAATGTCAGGTATTGCTGTACCCATTGTATGAGATGGTGCAGTGATGCATGCAGGGGGGACATTTGGACTCCTCTAAAAATGTAAAAGACAGAGGTCCATGGAATTTACATCTGTAAAATGGGGTGAATGAAGTTTTTTATGGGTAAAAAAAAATAATTATGTCACTTTAAAAGCATCAGTTCAGCTTCAGTGTTGTACTTTAATATATTTGAAATATATTCAAAAGGAGTAAAATGTATGTATTGGCAGTAAATTCTTTATCAGTATTGCAGTGATTTATCAAAAGCTGTTACAACAAATAAGCTCCTCAGTTCAGTTTAATTTGTCCTCTAGAGTACAGTTCAGATGGAGAGGCTTAGAATCATAGAATCATGAAATGGTTTTTGCTTAGAAATGACCTCAAGATCATCCAGTTCCAACCGCCTGCCATGGTCAGGGATGCCTTGCACTAGAGCCAGGGCTCTGTCCAACCTGGCCTTGAACACTGCCAGGGGTGGAGCATTTACCACTTCTTTGGGCACCCTGTTCCAGTGCCTTATACTTGAACTTTTGTGGATAGACATTGGGATAAAACGTGGTTTTCAGACACTTGTACATTTTCCTTTTGATGAGTGCTTCTGGATCTCACCAGATGTGTTTGACAGCATCGTGCTTGTTTTCACAGGCCGTGTGCTGGTGAGCTGATGTAACACTAGTTCATTTGCAGTATGTAATCAAGTTGAAAAATGCTATTGGTGATTTTGGATAGACTGTCAAGAACCTTCTTTTTTAATGTAATTTGCTTTTTGTGAAGAAATACGTATTTTACAGGTCAGAGCTGTCAGCCAGCTTGGGTAGCCAAGATCAGCAAACTTAATAGGAGTGAAGAAAAGCCTTTTATGCTATTCCATACATTTCTATTCTTATAACAGTTTGCACCGTTTTAATTCTAATGAAATCTGGAAGTTGCTGCAAGTGACTTCCAGAGGTCTGTGCCTTTCAGCCCACAGCTTTAAATAGGTTTTTAATTGTGATTCTCAATGCATGGTTAGAAGTAGATGCCAAAATCTGTCAGGTGATTAAAAGCCTGTGATTCCGAATCAGTTAATTTGCATTAGCAGTCCCTTCCTCTACTTGTGTTTGCAGGTTCAGCTCTGGTAAAACACTATTTTGATGAAGTATTATAAGACCAGTTTATTTTTGTGAATACCTTGAAAATTCAAAACATCTGGAACCTGAAGTACTGTTTTTTTCTGCAATCTCCATCAATAATGTACAGCTTTTTTTCACTTCAGTTCTGGTTCATACAAGTGGTTTCTCTCTTTCTCTTTCTTTGCTCCTTTTTCCTCCTCTTCTTTTTCTCTTTTAACCCTAGCAAGGAATTTGAAGAGGAACAACTGCTTTCTGTAAGGGGGAATAATTGGTCATCTCTGGAGATGACATTAGAGCTTCATGATGTTCCAGAGTGGTGAGATACAGGAGGCTGCTGTTTCACCTCACATATAATGTAACATAGTGCACATTCCTTACAGTGAAGCACAGAATTAGGATTCAGTGACTATCAGCTTGGCAACACATTTATTTCACACTGGGATCACTAAAACCATCTGTTGATAGTTTGCTTTCCTGTGGACCTCTGCCTCCCGTCTCTGAATAGACCTATCCAAAGCCATCCCCTCAGCCTGTAATGAGTCTTATTTAAGGCTTATTCACAGTGAATTGTATGCAAATAAATCTGAAATTTTTACACCTTCTTAACCTGATTATACTGAAACATTTAATGCTAACAGAGGCAGAAGCAGTGATGAATGATCTGAATTCCTACTTGGTGGTTTCTTAGGGAACACTATGATTATTAAGTGGGCATTTTTGCCTTTTTAATCAGTTATCCTGACATGATAAATGAGTTGTATTTCGTAGTCACACTTACACATCCTAACATAAACCACAAGATTATTTTAATATTTTCAGCATTTAAAAGAATGACATTACTTGTGCTGTTACTGAAATTAGAGAGCAATAAGTATAATTCTATATAAAAGCTTGGCATTCAGTGAACAAGTGTCTAATGTAAACTAGATGTGTTGGGGGAGAGAGGTATCCTTCTGTCCCAAAACACCCAGTCAGTTGCCAGCACCTGTAATGAATGCTCGGAACAATGTAGAGATATTCCAGCCTCTCCAGCCAATGAGCCGGCTTCAGTTGGAGCTCGGCTCAGATGCCTCTATACAAATGCCTGTAGCATGGGGAACAGAATAGGAGGAATTGGAGATGTGTGCACGTCTATGGGGGTATGATATAATAAGCATTGCAGAAACATGGTGGGACGGCTTTTGGGTACATTTATATTTTAAGTATTTCCACCTCAATGCTTATTCCTCCATATCCAACCTGTACAGCTGGAATGCTAGCTGGACGTTTCATGTGTCAGGACACAGCTAGAAACTACAGAGGGACTATGGCCTGCATGGCCTTTGCTTGGCTGGCACAAAGCCTTTCTACCACTTACAGAGAATTTGGCTGTACTTCTTTGGGAAGCACAGGGAATTTACAGGCCATCTGTAAATTGCATTGTTTCGTGGACTTATCAATTAAAGCATTGTGTGAAATACTGTAATGGTGAAAACGTGCCTGAACAAGCCCTGGGCAACCTGTTCCAGGGTCCCTGAGTAGGACCTGATGACCTGGTGGTCTCTGCCAAACGATTCTCTGTGTGCCTGCATTTGTGGGACTGAAAGGGAAAAGATGGGAATTGAAGACAGTGCAGGGTAGTGTCCAAACCAGAAGTGCCACCATTAAATTCAGATTTTAAGACTGATAGCTTTTATCATTAGGTGTTGTAGTTCTCTGAAGGTGTTAAAGACATTTCTGAGCAGTGTCATCCTCTTATGCCATGTAAGACCGTGCCATATTAGAATCTCAACATGGTTTCTTTGTGCAAAGGATACAAGGATTAGTTTTCTACTAATGGCTCCTTCACCACAAACATCGCACCAACAGTAAGCTTTGGGCTGATTACTATTTGAAAGATGAACTTCTTTAAGCAAAAATCCTCTTGAATTTTGCATACCTAAAACCCCAGTAGGGCTTTCCTCCAGCCTTGTCATTGTCAGTGAGTGAATCGCTGTAGGTGGCCTTGTCCCCCCATGCTGTTTAAGTGGGAAGCTGTGATTGCAGCTTGATTGATCTTCTTAGTGATGCTCAGCACATCAAGAGTGGCCCACAGGAGTATCTCTGTGGTGCTGGATCCTCTGTGATTCCTTGTTTCTGAATGGTTTTGACATCTGGCTTTAATGGTGTGAGTACAAGTGTATTAAGAGAGATCTTCTACTAGTAGATGTGAAAAGAAAGACACACACCCCAGTGCTTTTCAAAAGAAACAAAAGCAGCTCAGCTGTATTGACAGAATGCTCAATTCAGTTGAATCGTCCTTAAAAATGTTAGTGAAAGAAACCAATTTTGGGTAACACAAAGGTTGTGTGAGGTTCACTTCACCTCTCAAAGAAGAAGGGTTTGAGAAGAGGAATCACATTTGGGCAGTGCCCTGCATGGTCCTGGGGTTGTAAATGAAGTAATACATTTTGCAGTGCAGTGCTTTGAAGCTCACACATTCATTTACAGATAGGGGGAAGCATAAGGTAATTAAAAGCTCTTTTATCAGATTCTTTTCTGCAGGCAAGTATTTAGATAAGAGTAAACTCAATCTGCGCCTGGGAAGCCTGAAGAATTCATCTCAAGAGATGTCTTTGAAATGGTACTTGTTGAGATAGAGCTTAAGGTGGTGTAGCATGAGCCCAACAAGTCCTGCAGTCATGCAGGCATTGAGCTGCTTAGCTTCTAAATCACTATTTAGATCAACTACTACAACTGCTTTTATTTAGAAACCTTATAAACGTTTTTTTTTTTTAACAGCCTGTGAGTTAGTTTTGAACATAGATTCTGAAATGTTAGAATAGGGTTTTTAATTTGAACCAGAAAAAGCATGTTTTGTGACACTTGAAACTGGAACTTGCTTCACTACTTGCTATGGAAACAAGCCTCTAAAACAAATCTGTTCTTGTGTACACTGATGTGCTGATCCATGAGTTTATGTAACCAGTGGATTTTTTTCATGCCTCTTTGCAGGCAGCTTGTAGAAAGAAATGTGATACAGAACCTACACTTCTTTTTCTGTTATAGCCTGCATCAAGAGGCAGTAGTCTATGTTTAAGTGCTAGTTGTCCCACTGGATTAAAGAAAGGATGGGCCAACTGGTACAGAAAAGTATGCAACCTAACTAAAGGTTAACCTAAATCAAGATTATATAACCTAAATCAAAGCTGTGTTCCCTGTCATTTGCATATGATGTTGTGTTTGGTAATACCACTATTACTAAGAGCTAAGAGGGGCTCAGGTACTTTTAGGAGCAGAGTTGCATCATACTCTTGTTTTTTTGATACTTATTCGTTAATTTAAGTGCATAATATTAAACAGCAATTTAAAACATGAATTAGCTTCACGAGTTGTAAAATTCCATATAGCTGTTTTCCCCCTTGGTATCCCACTTTTCCTTGGCAGCCTACGGAAGGCCATTAAATGAGGTTGATCATCACTCACCTGAGTGAAGAGCCTTGTGTAATGCCACAGTGTTGCAGGACGGACCAAAATCCTCCATAGACCTCTTTGCCCTGCAATAAACCTTCACCCAACCTCTGCAGACACTTCTAAATAACTTGCTGAAGTGCTTCAAGTGTAAAATGGGTGCTAAATGCAGCTGACACTTTAAAACAAACCTTCATGATCTGGGTTGTCTGTTCTTTAAATAACGAATCTCTGTGTGTGTTTGTTGCTGCAGGCCACAGAAACCTTGTTCCGAATGGCAGTGGCACGAGGGACGATCACACCATTAAGACATGGAGAAGTAAGGCTAAATATACCTGTATATCTTTTCTTTTTGCACATGTGGTATAACGTTTTATTGACATAATGCTTTATAAATTCCTGGGAGATGAATTGTCTTCAGGTAAGTGAAGAAGTCAGGGCCATAGATAACTTGCATACCTATGTTGTAGGGATTTTATAAAGGAAAACAAGGATTTAAATCCTGTCCAGTGGGAGATGAGGTGTCCTTTAAAATACACTTTGTTTTTCTCTTTGCCTGCATCACAATTTATAATAGAAGCGACTCACAAGAATGTCCTTCTAGTGAGGTGATTTTTCACTGCATTTTCTCTATTAGAAATAGCAGAATATAGAGAAATTTACATGAATATAGAGAAATTCATCCTTTGTTCCTTTCAAGAAATAACAATGTAGGTAGTGTATGAAGTATTAATACATCAATTATTCTGAAGAGGATAAATATATTTGAATATTGTGTTGCTCACACATGCTTCTGTTGATGGTGAATGTTTGTTTCCTTCTTTGTGTGGTTTTCTATCAGGTAAACATTGTTCTAAGCATTGCTGATTAAATGCCTCCAGTATTAGGGGGTGTAATTAATGCTTAGGTTGAATTTCATTTAAGAAAATCACATTGCAGTCAATCATGACACTGGAAATGAAAACTGGTCTGGGCATTGCTGCAACTGAGAGTGTGTAAGGTTTTAAATGTAGAAACCTCAGTGGTTTACCTGATTTTGATCAAATTCTTGGGTAATGGTGAGAATTCATGTAGTAGGCACAGCGTTCAGCCTGGAACCTGCATCTGGACTTAGCCGGAATCCCAGCTGTGCTGTAAAACATTCCTTACACTGATGAAGTTGCTTTTATTTCTCTTTTGAAATGAAGTAATACATGTTTGCATCAGTGTCTGAAGATGAGGGTCCAGAGGAGCTGCAGAAATGATCAGAGGGGCTGGAGCACCTCTCTTATGAGGAAAGGCTTGATCCTGTGATTCTCCTTGCCTGTGATTTCTTGTCATGCCATTGTCCATTGTTTTAGCTTTTCTAAATACATGGATGATTTATACTTTCCATATAATATTCTTTATTTCTTCCTACAGCAGAGTGTAGTGCAATTTCCAGAAGTGTTAGCGATGAGATATGTGCAACCCTTCCAAATTGTTTAGGTTTTTAGCAGTGAAGGGTACTTAATTTTCCATGTTTTAATGACCAGGTTGTCCAAAGAGTTTGTGGGGTCTCCATCTTTGTAGTTACCCAGTGAATGGTGTGAACTGTGGGAAAATCAGATGATATCTTTTCCTAAAGTGTAGTGTATTGCACCCTGCAATACAAAGTACGGGGGTGATTGCAGGCCATAAAGATCTCTCTTACGAAGGGTATTAGGAATTTCTGTGTCTGATTCATCTCATGTTGAGCCAGTTCAGTTCAGTGATGTGGTAGAAGAAGTTTTAATTTCTTCTTCAGATATTCCCTCTGATTTTCTTATCAATTAAATTACCTGAAGGGCTGGAGAGAAGCAGCAAGGTAAGTGCTGAGAGGATGTGGCCATGGTTAGGGTGAAAGTACATCTCTGTGATGATGGTGGACTTTACGCTGGTGTAGTGTGTCCTGTGGCATTATTTGTGAGGTATTGCTTGGGCTTCAGTAGAAATGCAGTTGATGGTGAGCCAGATAATTTACAGATAAAGCACGGAAGAGTTGTGCAGAGTTGGCTTTTTGTGTAAGAGGGCAGTGGGAACAGTGAAGAGACCTTTTTTCTCTCTGCTATATTTATCATGTATCTCATGCAGAGGAGAAAAACATTTTCACTCAAGGAAGATAATTTCCATTAAATTCCATTGTGGAATTATAATTTATTTCCTCTAAAAATAAGGAATGCCATTAATCAAATGAAACTGATTTTTCCAGGAGAAACATGTAATTATCAAGAGTCATATAAAATACTTTTATAGCTCTTCCAAGAAATTTGCTGCATGTTTGCACAGTGCGTAAATAGAAAGGGAGCCAGAAGGAGAGTTGAATCTGAACTAAAGTTGACTCTATTCTGTTTGAGAAGTGTGAACTTGGCAGTGAAAATCAAAGCACAGCAACTTGTTTATTGGAAATTGCAAACTAGGGAGGCAGCTGTCCAAATGGGCAAAAGTGCTGTTCAGCTTTCACAGTGGTGCTTAAACGTGTAACACTATTTAAGATAGAAGAGTGGGTAAAACTGCTCAGTATAAAAAGGCAAAAATCATTCTTGTTTCTTCTACATTCATAAATTAAAACCTGACAATTTCCTGTCTGCACTGTTGAACGAATTAATGTGCAAACATTCCTGCTATACAGGCAGAACAGGGTGCGAGAAGGACTACCCATTCTAATCCAGTTGTCATCACCAGGTGGATTTGTAATTTATAATATTGGATGCCGATGGGAAATCCTTTTTCTGCTCCTTCCAACATTTATTCGTTGGGACTCACCAAGCATTTATGCATATAGAATTCTTAGGTTTTTCCTTTATTAATCGTAAATAAATTGGGCTGGTTTTCTGAGTTTTGAATATGGTTTGTAAAATGGCTGTAGAGAACTTAGAAGATCGTGCTGCCAAAGGTAGGCATCAAAAGTGGGTACATAGTGCTAAATACTACTGAACTCTGGGATATAGATCATAGGGGTCCCTGAGGAATCCTCCTAGCAGTTGCCTTGCTCTTGGTTGGGTTGAAGTTGTGTACCATTCATGGGAGGGCATCAAGCCTAGAATCATAATTCATTTTCAGGATTCATTTCAGTTATTTCATAATTCATTTTCAGTTATTCCTGTTAATTGCTTTGTTTTGGGGGTGGAGCATGAGGCTGAGCCTTATAGAGATTATGATTATCTGATTCTGGGCCTATAAGGATGCTGGAGAGGGACTCTTTGTTAGAGAGTGTAGTGGTAGGACAAGGGGTAACGGGTTCAAACTTAAACAGGAGAAGTTTAGATTGTCTATAAGGAAGAAGTTCTTTACTGTGAGGGTGGTGAGGCACTGGAGTGGGTTGCCCAGGAAGGTTGTGAATGCTCCATTCATGGCAGTGTTCAAGGCCAGGTTGGACAGAGCCTTGGGTGACATGGTTTAGTGTGAGGTGTCCCTGTCCATGGCAGGGGGGTTTGGAACTTGATGATCTTAAGGTCCTTTCCAACCCTAGCTATTCTATGATTCTATGATTCTGTGATCTGGTAGTTGCTGGGTGTGCTTCTGAGCAACGTGATCTAGTTGAAGGTGCCCCTGCTCATTACAGAGCGCTGGACTGGATGACTTTTGAACGTCCCTTTCAACCTAAACTATTCTGTGGTGCTATGAGCAGGTGGGATCACACCAGATCTATGGCTTTAATTGTGTTCAGAAGTCTTTGGGTGTGAAATCTTACCTTGTGTTGACTTTAAGACAGAATTTCAACCTAGAAAATGAGGAGACCATGTTAAAGAACACTGCTGCTAGCTCAGTATTCCTGTCTTCTTTCTTCTTCCCTATCCACCATGTCATGGGAGAGTGCTCTGTCAAGTCCTGGAAACTCAGCTCTGGAATTAAGCCATGTAGAGAAGAACTGTTTTTAGTAATAACAATAACTGTAATCACTTTCTTCAGGAGAAGGGGCTTTCTAATTTTACTTGCTGTTAGAGCAATTCGAAAGAGATCTTAGGGCACTTCAGCCATTACATTTAGTTATGTACTATAAAGATGACATGGAACAGAGTATTCATTTAAATGGTGATCTCTTTTTCCACATCAAGGGGGGTGTTCTTGAAATTACCAAATTTTACGCTTGATTTTTAAATGGTGGGGTTTGTCACAGTGATGTTTCTGTTTGCATTTTTGGCCTGTTTCATTTATAATACTTGAAACACAGGAAGGCTTCGTCAGTGGTAACATTTGAGATTCAGAAGAAGAAGTACCATGAATCACTTTGAGATTAATTTTCATTTAAATCAAATGGCTTTGGGCACACTGCTTCATGTGATGTCAGCTGGGGGGCATTCCAGGTCTCATCACGTACAGGCACATCAGAAGCCAAATGCCAGTGGGATAGTGGACATCCAATCCGCTTGCCCTCATGCCTTCCCATCACAAAGATGTCTTTATTATCCGGGGTTCAAAAGTTGTGCTCTCACAGACTATACCTACCCATAGCCTCTGCTTTTCATGCTTTTTGCTTGAATACTTGGTTGCTGTCATAAATCGCAGCAGTAGAGATGCTGTAGTTAAGGTCCTGAATGCTCTGACTCTTTAAGCCTTCAGCCAAGGACACATTTCAGAGGCAGTGCTGTTGGTTAGATGGGACTTGTTTGTTCTCCTTGAAAGGGTGATGCTTGTTAGCAAACAGTGCTTAACATTACAAAAGAAATCTGGTTTGGTACAATGCAACTTAAATTTTTGTAAGGCCAAGTCATAACATTCTTAGGCTCTTTCTGCCTTCAAAGTAGGATTGTCAGTCTCTTGGATCTTATCCTGAGGTTTTTTTCCCTCATGGTTAAAGCTTGCTAATACACAGAAAAATGTGTATTTTTTTTTTTTTTAATTTAGTATGTTGCAAAACAGCATCAATTTAATTGAACCAAACCGTGTTTTCTGAGTATGTGTGGTAAGATACAAAGTGCCAGCAGGTTTTAGTATTGCCTGCAAGAAATCCAGAGAGGGACTTTCTACAAAGGAATGTGGTGCTTGGAAAAGGGGAATGGCTTTAAGCTGTAAGAGGGTAGGTTTAGATTACATCTTAGGCAGAAGCTCTTCCCCATGAGGGTGCTGAGGCACTGGCACAGGGTGCCCAGAGAGGCTGTGGCTGCCCCATCCCCGGCAGTGTTCAAGGCCAGGTTGGATGGGGAAGTAGTATTTAGCCTGTCTTTCAGAACCTTTTGTGAAGGACCAGTAAATGGAGAAAACCTAAGAGCAGAACTGTTTTACAGTCTCTCTATTTCAGGTTTGGGGGATATGTGTCAAAAGTATTTAAAAGTGGTATGAATATCCTGGAAATCCTTCTGGTCACAGTGGGGAACAGCT